CTTGTTCTTTGCCACTTCTTTCAATGCACTTTGGACTTCCTCCCTGAGTGTCATTGGCTCTTGTTCATATGGTAGCTCTTGAAATGGTTGAACATTAACCATTTCCTTTTGGTACAATGACTCTGTATTCCTTCCATCTTTTCTTGATGCATTCTGCATCATTCAACAATTTGCCCAGAGAATTCAAAGTTAGCTGTTCAAAAATACCGCGGGCGAAAGGTGAGGCTATCTGCTCCCGTAAAGATTTACAGCCTCGGCAATCCCGTGCAGGGTCACTATGAGTCGGAACTGACTCCACGGTACTTAACAACAACAAGGAACTCTGGTAGCATAGTGGTTATGAATTGCGTTGTGAACCTCACGGTCAGAAGTTTGAAACTACTAGTTTTTCATGGGAGAAAGTTGAGGCTTTCTGCTCCGGTAAAGATTTACTAGGAGTTGAAACTGACTCAATGACACATAATTACCACCACTGAGTGTTTTGCTGCTGTCAATGATTATCACTAGAATATATTATATGATGGATATATACTTGCATATAAAATGCAGACCTCCAGAATGGTATTTGGAGTTCTGGTGTGGCGCTGTGGGTTAATGCACCAGACTGCAAAGCCGTTTGAACTGCAAGGTCGGCGGTTCAAGCTGACCAGCTACTCCTCGGAAACCGTATACAGGGTCACTATGGGTCAGAACCAACTCGACTGAACTTCACAACAACAGTAACAACAGAATGGTATTCAGGAGTTAAGGGGTAGGATAAGTACTGGGCCACAAGGTCATTTAAACAGGGTCATTGTGAGTTTTAACTGATTCTGTGGCATTTAACATCTGATATGGAACCAGCTTAACTGCACTTCACGACATCTTTGTCAGCATGAAGAGCTCAGTGGTACAGTGGTTAAGCACTACAGAAAGGTTAGCAGAGCAAACCCCCTAGCTGTTCTGCAGTAGAAACACGTGGTAGTCTGAGTCGGTTACAGATTACAGCTTTGAAAATCTCACAGGGCACTTCTACTCTGTCTTGGACAGTCACTGAGAATCGCCTTGATGAGAATGTGGGTCAGCATTTTAAGGATCTCCTATATTGATGCATGGTGACTTTTGGGCCCTACTGAGGTAGCAAAAAGATTTTGTTTTTCCTGACAACCGTGTGCCGATTATTTTTACCAGGTTCTGTTGCGTCAGTCTTGACTCATGGAAACCCTATGTGCCACAGAATAAAACACTGCTGGGCTCTGTGCGATCCAATAAATCATTGTTATGCTTGAGCCCTTTGTTTCACCCACTGTATCCATCCATCTCATCAAGTCATCCTCGTTTACGCTGACCCTCTACTTTACCGATCATGTGCTTCTCCAGGAAGTTGTCCCTTCTGATAACACGTCCAAAGTATAAGATGAAGTCTCACCATCCTCACTTCGAAAGAGCGTTCTGCTGAACTTCTTCCAAGACAGATGTTTGTTCTTAGGGCAGGCAGGCTGTATAGTATGCTCAATACTCTTTGCACGCACCATAATTCGAACACAACAGTTCTTCTTACGTCTTATTCATTTTCCAAATTTCACATGCATATGGTGCTGTGGGGTAATGCACTGGACTGCAATGTTGGTTTGAACCACAAGGTCAGCAGTTCAAGCTCACGTGCCACTCCTTGGAAACCCTATACAGACAGGATCGCTGAGTTGGGACTGACTTGACAGTACTTAACAACACTGAAGAGCAGAGATGTCAGCTTGAGGACTAGGGTGCGCCTGACCCAGGCCATTGTGTTTTCAATAGCCTCATATGGATGCGAAAGCTGGACAGTGAATAAGGAGGATCGTAGAAGAATTGATGCCTTTGAGTTGTGGTGTTGGAGGAGAATACTGAGGGTGCCATGGACTGCCAAAAGAACCAATAGATCTGTTTTGGAAGAAGTGCAGCCAGAGTGCTCCTTGGAGGCCAGGATGGCTAAGCTTCGTCTCTCCTACTTTGGACATGTAGTCCGGAGGAAACAATCATTGGAGAAGGATGTCATGCTGGGTAGGGTGGAGGGTCAGAGAAAAAGAGGAAGACCCCCAACGAGATGGATCGGCCAGGTGGCATCATTGATGGACTCAGGGGTGGCAGCGGTGGTGAGGTTGGCCCAGGATCGAGCATTGTTTTGTTCTGCTGTGCATGGGGTCGCTATGAGTCGGTTCCGACTCGATGGCACCCGACAACAACAACAATGAAGCAATTGAATATACCACCGGTTTAGGTTAAAAAAAAATCCAAACCCTCTGCCATCTAGTCAGTTCTGACTCATGGTTGTGAGATGCTTTAAGTTGGTTCCAAGCCATATGGCCCTACGTACAAGAGAATGACCCTATGTACAAGAGAACAACCCTATGTACAACAGAAAATACCACCCAGTCTCACAATTGCTGCCTCTGTGCAATCCCATCTAGTCGGGGATCTCTTTTTCACTGTTTCTGTACTTGGGGTTTCCAACATTTTCTCTTTTAAGCAGGATACATACAGCCTTATCCTACCAAAGAGCAGCTGTTGATAGCTTTGAATCAACTACCTTGCAGTTAGCCTAAGGCCCAACCATAGCCTTAGTCTTCAAAGTGACATCTTTGCTTTTTAACACTTTACAGATGTCTTTTGCAGCAAATTTGCCAAATGCAATAAATCATTTGATTTCTTGACAGCTACTTCCATAAGTGTTGACTGTGGATCCAAGTAAAATGAAACCCTTGACAACTTCAATTATTTTCTCCATTTATATGTTTCTTATTGGTCCAGTTTGAGGATTTTTGTTTTATATTGAGGTGCTATCCATACTAAAGATTGTAGTTTTTGATCTTCATCAATAAGTTCAAGTTCTCTTCACATTCAGGAAGCAAGGTTGCCATCTGCATATTGCAGGTTGTTAATATTTTTTATCTTTTTCATATAGTCCAGCTTCCTGATTATTACAAATGCAAGCTGGTGCACACCTTTCCTGATTTTAAACCCCTCAGTATACCCTTATTCTGTTTGAACAACTGCCTTTTTGTCTACCTAGAGGTTGCACATAAGCACAATTAATCTATCTGAAATTTCCATTCTTTGCAATGGGTCCTAATTTCTTATGATCCAGACAGTTGAATGCCTTTGCAAAATCAATAAAGCACAAACAAGTTTCTGGTATTCTTTGCTTTCAGCCAAAACCCATCTGACATCAGCAATATGTCACTCATTCCACAACCTTTTCTGAATCCATCTTGAATTTCTGGCAGCTCCGTTATACTGCTACAACCATTAAAAAGTATCTTCACCAAAGTTCACTTGCACGTGATGTTAATGTCCATATTCTGTTAGATCACTTTTCTTTGGAATAAGTTGGTTGACCAGGTCGCTGTTTTCATGTTTCTTAGCACAGATGAGCGATTGCTACCAACATTACATCTGTTTGTTGAAATATTTCAATTGGTATTGTCAATTTCTGGAACCTCATTTTTCAATTGGTATTTTCTAACATTTCCCCGTCTTCAGCGCAGCTTGAACTTTCCCCATTACCCTCCTGAAATGGTTAAATGTTGGCCAGTTCTTTTTGGTACAATGACTACATATGTTGCAACCACAAAACTGAATATACAGCAGCAAGAGGGTGGTTGGCAGAGGAAAGATGACATAGCTGAAGACACAGGGAGGAGTGCAAGAGTTTAAAGTGAATACAGGTAAATGCTGTTAATTGATGGTGTATGGAGGGGACTGCAATAAATGTAACAAAACGAAGTGTATAGTTCATTGAATTGTGACACCTACCATCTGCTGTGTATACTTTCACTCAATTTCACAATAAATTTTTTTTTTTCTTAAACACAGTCCTTTCAGCTTGAGAAATGCCACTGGTGTTCATGGCTTTTGAGTTGTTAACTCCCTGTCTTTGCACATTTCATTAGACAGGCAGCCCCTTGGTTAAGAACACCCAACTTACAGACTACTACTACTTGTCCTTTGTTGTTAAGTGCCATCAAGTCACTACCGACTCAGCCACGATTTCTGCAGAGTAGCTGGTGAGTTTGAACTGCTAATTTTGCAGTTCAGTGCTTATCCTACAGCGCCACACTCGTTGTTTTAATATTAAGTCAATTTGCCCTCACTTTTGAAATGACTTAATCAGTTGCTATTTGCATGAAATTATTCAACACAATCACCTGCCCTTGCTGCATCATACAGCTTTGAAATCATTAAAACAGCTTTGCGCACCGACAAGCTAAACAAGAACTGAATGCATCTGATTTGTCTAACCTACAAATTCCTAACAACTCAATTAGGAAAAGATCATGTTCACACCCTGGAGGACTGACTACCTCTAATTCTCTCTTCTTTTGAGTTGCCCTTTGAAATCTTCTGTTCAGTTCTGTTGCATTATCATCTTTCCTTCAGGCTGGTAGTGTACTGGGTTACGAAATGGGCTGTTCCCAAGGTCAGCAGTTCAAATCCACGTGTCGCTCCATGGGAGAAAGATGAGGCCTTCTGCTCCCATGAAGATTTACAGCCCCGGAAACCCTATCTAGGGTCGCTATGAGTGGGAACTGGCATGACAGCACACAACCACCAGTCTACGTCTAAGAACTAGTTTCAGAGTCTCTTCTGACATCCATGTTTGCTTTTTCTTTCCTTTTTGTTTTTTGTTTTCATGTATATGATTTCCGTGTCATCCCACAACTCTTCAGATCTTTGGTTATTAGCATCTTTAAATTTAGGTGATCAGGTGGGTTATAACCAAGACTTTACTTTGCTCTAATGGACTAGTTTTGTCTTCAGCTTCAAGTTGGGTTTCACAGGGGCAACTGTTTTTGCAATTATAGCCCCTAGTCTCATTCTGACGGGTAATACTTAACTTCTCCATCATCTCTTTCCACAATTCCACGCACTCCATCCATCAAGGTCCACATGTATTGCAGTTGGGTTAGTGAAACTTTTTCCCAAGTAATAGTTTATTGGTCTATTGGTCTTGAAATTTTTTCATCTTCAGCATCTGGCCAAGGCCAGATTTTCCAACTACAGGTTGTTCCTGCTTCCATCTATCACATTTCTAGTTAATTATCAATGCATCTGGATTGCATGTTTGATCAATTTTAGACTGCAGAAGTTGGTGATTACAAAATTACCAAAAATCTTCCATGTCTTTGTCTGTGGCATTAGTGGTTGATGCATAAACTTGAGTACTAGATTAACTTTACCACTGATCGAGTTGTACTTCTTGAAATGTGTCAAGATGAACCAATTCCACTTGTTAGTAATTGTGATACTGACATGTCCTCCAGTGGCCTGGTGCTAGGCTGAGTCTCAAACAAACATTTCAAACCTGACCCATCAGTTGTGTGGCCAACTGCAGATGAACATGGCAAAACTTTTGCCTTTTCTTATCAAGTATGTTATGACACTTAATCTTCCAAAGGTCTCATTTATCTCCCATTTTACAAAGAAGAAAACTGAGAGGCTTGGGGGTCCCAAACAATGTGCCTGGTTAATATCAGCTTACTTCCCCACTCTCCCAGCTGTTTCCCCAGTGCAAGTTCTGGTCATCTTCATGTCTAAAGCTTCCCAAAACCCCCTCTTACAGCTCTTCCCTACTGCCCAAATGAAGGATAAAGGAGGCCAGATGGAGATTAAGGGTTTCACAAGAAACTGATCTTTACTCAACAAAGTTCTACACAAGTGGAATCTCACGCCACCCTGGGCGCCAATCCCCAGCACAGCACGGTAATGGACAGACCCGGCACCCTGCAGGGGGAGGGGATGAAAGGGAGGGATGCAGAAAATGTGGCCAGAGGGACTGCAAATCACGGCCAGTCTGGGTTCGAAGCCCTGGGCAGGGGAGAAGGTTGGAAAGCTGAAACTTCGTTGTGCAAAAACCAACCAAAAATAAATTGGGAAAATTAAATCATTTTCATATTAGGAAAAAAAGGAAAACTAGAACCTTCCCTGAAGATGGCTGGACTCCCTGCACCCCAAAATCTGGGCAGAGAAGGGAGTTACCAATCCCACCAGTCTGCCAATCCATCAGCATCCTCCAAGATCCAGCGGAGGATGCGCCATAGAACTACAATTATCAGAAAGTTAAATGGTATCAAAACTTGTTTTTGTCTTTACAAATGGCTTCCAGAGACCTGCTCAGTTTCACAGGGAAAAAAAATAAAAATAAGAGCTGAGTTTATGGAATGTGCACTAAGTGGCCCTTGGCATAGAGGCAGGGCCTAACCCTGTCTGAAAGAACACAGGGCTAAAATAGGAGTGGGTGCAGGGCACCAGACCAATGAAGCAGGCTGGAGTGCACAAGAGTCCAGTCAACCCCTAAAATACAAGGGGTCCCCAAAGAAGGCAGGGAAGGAGAGGGAACCAAAAAGTTAAGGGGTAGCTGGCCTGGTTTCCCAGCCAAGTCTAGCATGGAAGGAATGATACTCCCTCTCTCTCTTGAATAGCCCCTCCCACATTAGCTCAACAATCCCACATTCCCTAGAACCACTGACTACAAACGAAGGGTGTGTGGGCCCACTGGGAGCAGCAGGGTGGCCATGAAGAGCAGGAAGTTCCAGGCAAACAGAGGGGAGAGTATAGGATACACCACTTTTTCCCTCTTCCAGGCCCTCAGTTTCCTGTTTGCTACTAAAGCCAAAGCCTTCATCTTCCACCATCATCAACTGAATGCCCCTGCTCCAGCCCTGGAGTTTGATTAGAGGGCTTTCCCAAGCACAGAGACACTGCCCTTGACGGTGTTTATGATGAGAGACGCCGGGGGCCCAGCAGCTCCAGGTGCCCCCAGATTGCTGTCTTTGGGAAAAAGTCCCAGTCCAGCTTCTTCAGAAACTGCTGGAGCACAAGGCAGGGAGACAAGGCCACCTCTGGCCAGCCCTTCCAGCCAGTCCCACCCTGCTAGCTGGGCCTGCACAAAGACGAGATACAGGCTGAGGCTGCCACAAGCTGGCAGGAAGTTTGCTGAGCGGGTCCCAAGCGTGCACGTACTGACTAGGTGGCCCCAAGATGGCCGTCCTCCCCCCCGCCCATGGACCTCAGCTGAGGCCCCTCAACCCTCCCAGCCCTCCCCAATCACCGCCAATTCCAGCATTGCGGCAGAAGCTTCTTAAACTCTAGATGAAGGTTATGCGGAAGGCCTTACGGGTTAACTCAGGGGTTCACTAATTCTACTGTCTCCATGCAGTCAGGATAATGGTGGGGTGGCTGACTGAGCCTTGCTGGCTGCAGTGCCCACACGCGTGTGACCACGTGTGTACGTGTGAGTGTACGTGTCTCTACAAGGACCCCCCTCCCCGCCTGCTCCCCCCTTTTCCTCATCCTTAGCTGAATTAAGGTCGGTTGTATTGAGTCCTCCCTCCCACGTGGCTGGCCCAATTGGGCTGCCTGAGACAATTACAGCGAAGGGGCCCTTGCCCACCAAGAACTCCCACCCCCCTCCCCCGTTTGTAGGATGAGTGTGGAGGCCCCACCCACCTGCCCGCCCCCCGGCCAGACAGACGCGGCGCAGCAGGCAGGCAGACGGGCGGGGTAGGCGTCTGGATTTGGGTCCCACTTCCTCCTCCCTAACCCCCCTCGACCAGGGCACGGTAACTTCTGGACGCAGCGCGCTCCCGGCAATCCCTCTGACGATGACGCAGACAGAAACCTGTGGGGGAGGAGGAGGAGGAGGAGGGTTAGGGGCCATGCCAGCTCTCAGTGCCACACTGCCTGCTGGCCTGCTGTCTTACCTGGCAGTCCCGATCCCGTCTAGACCCCATAGAAAGCAGCCAGCCGTTCCTTGAGCAGCGGGGGGAACTGCTCGGAAAACTGCTGCCAGTTCTCCTCCCCAACTTGGTCTTTGAAGCCGTGGAGAATCTGAGTGAAGGACAGGAGAGGGCACCACAGGATAAGGGGCAGCAGAGGCCAAATTGGAGTCTGGAGTGGGCAGCCCAGCCTCTCCCCTCAGAGCTTCCTCTGGCCCCTTTCTGGGCCTCACCTTATAAAACATGTCCCGAAGGTCATCCTTTGGGCTCACCCAAGAGGCTACAGCATCGCAGAAGAAAATAAAGTCCTGAAATGGGACGGATCCTGTGTGAGGGGCAGCCTGTCACCAGCCCCAACACCTTCCTTCCCTCCGACTCCCAGCCCAGCTGTCCCCAACCTGCACAACACCCCCAGGATTGACGCCTATCATCATGCAGATGCCGCGGAAAGCAGAGTCCTTCTCCTCATTGTCCCTGATGTTCCTGAGGGACGTGCACCTGCGGGGGGGTGGGGAGGGAGGGCAGAGGAGTGAGCAGCGTCATGTCAGGATGCAGGGCTGGAAGAACATCTACAGGAGAGGGGCGCTGGGGTGAGGGGGGCAGTGAGCAGGTGGGGCCAAGGAAGATGCAGGGGAGGGAACTGGCTGGGCTTGTCCCACCCACTACCGCCCAGCCATCCCTATAGCAGGCCCCCACACACGCACCACGGCCGGATGAATTGCTGCAGCATGGGTGCCACCTCCTGGGGGCACACGTAGCCCAGGCGGCCAATGGTGATGGCTGGAATGGCAGAGGGACTCGTCAAGCGACCTGAAACCCCGAGTGACCCCGGGACGGTACGTGGCGGGACCTCTGGCATGAGGCACCAAGCCCCGCCCCATGGACCCCAAGGGAATGGCACCTCCTAGGCCACCTGGGCCTGAGCACCTCCTCCTAGGGGGACATCCCTTCTTAGGTTCCATTCAGATGTCCCTCTCAGGTTCCCACAAACACCACCCCTGGTTCTTTCCCAAGACCTCCTCTCAGCCCAGCACCCAACCTCCTAAAAGTGAGGCAGCAGCATGGGCACTTCAGGGGTGGCCCCAGTGGCCCAGGCCTAGCGCCCCCCACCTGTGTTTTCCAGCAACGTCTTGGGTGTGTTGGGCCGGTTAATGATCTCCACCAGATTGTTGAGGACCATCTGCACGTAGGGCTGCATCTCTGCCCCTGGGAGATGGCCAATCAGAGCCCGACATGGCCCCTTCACCCACTACTATAGGCCAGTCAAGTGTTACCCCACCCCTCGAGCCCTACCTCCCTTGTTAACCTTGGTTCCAACTAAAATCTAGTATTCCAGCTCAGTAAGAAAAGAAAAAGGCCTTCTCTAGTTGGCTCCAGTCAGGACCCAGAGCCAACCAGATACATTATCAAATCCCCCATACACAGGAGGCTTCTCTGGAATCACCCACTGAACACCAGGGTGAAACCATACCTTCAAATTTCCCTTGGAAAAAATAAAACAAAGTTTCCCAACCAATCCCAACAGGCCTCTCAGTCAGCTGCATCCCACTGGGAGTGGCAAACAGTCAAATCAGAACAGAATTCCATTCCTGCCTTTTGGGAAAAGCCAGTTGGTTGCCCCTTGAACCATTTGGCCCCATCCCTGAGTTAAAATAGTCACAGTTGTCCTCGTGCCTCTACCAACTGAAACCTTCCTCAAAAAGCACCAGACTGGTTGTGAGGAGAGCTGTCAGTCCGAGCCAGGCTCCCGCCCAGAGGCTAATAGGTAAGATCACTCACCCATCTGCATGCAGATCTCACCGATGGCCCAGGTGGCGTTGTTGCAGACTGAGATGAACTCAGGATTCAGGTTGGTGCCCAGGATGGGCATGAACTCAGCTGGTGGGGGAAAGGGAAGAAGCTGAACAGCAGAATCAGCCAGGGTGAGCTCCAGGTCCTGGCCAGGCCGGCCCCATCAGACAGTACGAATACAACCCAGTTCGGTCATGGTCCTCCCAGGTCATCTCTCCATCATTTGAGACAGGATTGGAGTCATGGGTCAAGGACAAGATAGGAGTCTTACCAATGCAAGGCTTGACATGGATGAAGCAGGCTTTGGTGAGGTCCCCCAGGAGGGCGAAGGAGCTCTGCCGGACCTCAGGCATGGAGTCCTGGGGATTGAAGTGATGTCAGCATGGCAGCCCCCTAAACTCCACCCCCCTACAGAGTCTCAACTCATCGCTCAATCCAGGACCTTAAGAACACGCAGTCCATGTTGAGTGTCCTGACACTGGCCAAGGTCAAGCCCATCTTCATATACTCTAACCTGGGGATGCCAGTCCACATCTAGGACCCAGTGGGGATGTGAATGGCAACTCCTTTGCTCCAGATAGTGTTACAAGGAAGCTGCCATCACTGCCCATCCTGACACTCCCAAAGGGAGGGAGGGAATGGGAGGAGTTGGTATTATTCTCTTTGCTTTTTAATGAGATTTTTTGGTCTTATTTGATAAATCATTAAAAAAAATTAATCAGAAGCTTTTTTCTAAGAGTTCTCTGGGCATGATCAGTGCCCTGATCGCCCTCATATTGGCCCACACAGGCTACAGAAGTCATCAAGTCCCACTTAATGCCCTAGGGACCACTGGGAAGTGGGGTGCCGGCCTTTAAGGGGCAGCCACCAACCTGCATGCACTGGAAGAGCAGTGTCATAATGTTGCTTCGGGCCACCAGCTGCTCCACGTGGCCTCCCAGTCCCTCAGCCAGGCCACTGAGCAGATCCAGTGCCACAATCATGAAGTCCTTGTCTGGGGCCTCATACTGCTCAGGGTGCTGATTGTACATCTGGGCCAAGATAAGGTGGAGAAAGACGGTGAGGGGTGGCGACTGGGACTGAGGCAGCAGCAGAGGCGGGTGGGGGGTAGGAGATGGGGAACGGTGCACACCATGGCCTGGGCCAGCGTCTTCTGCACGAGGGTGACACAACGCTGGTAGACGGGCTCACAGTAGGGCAGGAAGCCGCTCTGCAGGGCAGTAGCCACCGAGGACAGGCACTGGGGGCGAGGAGAGAAGACAGGTGAAATCCAAGGGACCAAGCCGGGCCAGGGCTTCAGGCCAGGGCCCTGACCCCACCTACCTCTAGCAGTGGGAAGAGGTCCTTGTCTTCATCTTTGAGCTCATTCCACTTCTGGATCAGTGGGGGCATCAGCTTCTGGATGTATTCCTAGAGAGGAAGCACGACTTTGGGACCCCCTGGGTGGGGTGGTGACCTGAGATTCAGCAGGTCTCCATAACTCAGAGGTACCCATTTTGAGGCAATGAAATCTGGGCTCCTGGGACCCTGTAAGACCTAGCCAGCCAGCCAGCCAGCCCTCCAGGCCTTTCTTGGTGCCCACCCCTCTCAGAGCCTGGGTCAGTATCTCCTGGTTGCCACAGGCCGAGCTTTCCCCAACACAGCACTTACCACACTGTCTCATAACTTTCTGTCTCTCCCCCGCTAGACTGTGAGCAGGGCAGGGGCGGGGGCCAGGACTGTATGTCTGTCTGTCTGCTGGGCGAGGTCATGGCCAAGTCCCTGGCATGTGACATGGGGTCACCACCAGGTCACTGGTTGCCAAGGGCCCTGGGGATCAGGAGGGAGGGAGCCACTCTGGGGTCTCACCGGCTGGTTGAGATGGTGGCCTACAGAGTCAGCCAGGGTACCGATGGCATCGTAGAGGATGAGTAAGTTCTTGTGCTGGTATTTGCCAAAGGCAAAGACGAGGGTGTCCAGGATATAGCTGAGGTAGGGCACCAGCTCTGTGCAGGCCTCCTCCTCCAGGGTGGCAAAGGCACTAGGGAGAAGGAGGGCAGAACGAAGCCACAGTAAGCAGCAGGGAGCCAAGCAATGCCACGTGAGGAGCCAGGAGAGGGACGCTGGGGATCAGTCAGTACGAATACACGAAAATCAGCGTGATGTCAAGGGTTACAAGTGTCATCACTTCCCATTGAGCATCCAATAGGCTGGGACGAGGGTCATGAGGCCAGGGGTCAAGGGTCACCTGCAGGCAGCCTCTTGTACCCTCTTGTTGCCATCCAAGATGCGTTTGAGCAGCTCTGTCATCAGGGGCTTAAGGTGCATGTCAGGTGGCTGGCTGACCACCCAGTGGGCATAGCGACTCAGCGTCCAGCAGGCAATGGAGCGGACCAGGGCCTTCTTGTCTGACAGGCACTGGATCAGGTGTGGGATCAGCTCAGGCAGGTAGGGCACCATGCCCTGCATGCATCCTGCAAAGCGAGCAGAGAGGAAGCAGTGGGGCTAGAGCACAGTCCTGGCCAGAGCCTAGCTAAACCCACCCTGCCAGGGAGAGGATCAGTCCCATTTGACAGACAGGGAAAGTAAGGCTCAGAAGGTAAATAAATTGCCCAGTAACATGGCCAGTAAGAGGCAAAGTCAGAACTGGAAACCACATCAGACCAAGTCTTTTCCAGTCCACCAGCTATGTCCCGTCCTGAGGGTCGTGTTATCTATCTGGTCACTGAGTTCATTTAAGCACTGCAGACAGGCTGCAGGCAGTACATGGGCTCTGTTACAGGGCAGCAGGGCCCACGTGGAAAGAGTACTTTTCATCTGAAGTTTTATAGGTTTGTGGGGTTTTTTCCTTCTTTTTTAAACAAAGAACATATTTGTTTTTCAATTAAAAAGAGGAGAGCATGAATAGTATGTTCCTCCTAATCTAAAATGCAGGGCCTAGTTTTTACCAGTTGAAGGTTAATTCCTATTAATATATATCCATAAAAATACAAACGAACCCTACAGAGCAGTTGTATTCTGTCTCATCAGTTCAGTATGAGGCATCACACATGGACATGCTCTAAGTAACACATATACTATTAACATCGGTCACCTGTAGGATCACCTGTAGTATCAGCACTGGACTACAAACCACAAGGTTGGCAATTCAAACCCACCAGCTGCTCCTTGGAAGGTTCGTTGAGAGTCGGAAAGGACTCGATGGTACTTTACAACAAACCTTAATCACCTATTATTATACAACGATAGCTCCCCTCAGATTATTTTAAACAGCGCTCCAAGTTGACAACATCAGTTGCCATGTCTGAAATGTTTATGACAATCCTGAATTCTTAAGTGGTCATGTGTGATGCCTATAACAAGATAAGTGAAGACCAGAACACGCTGCCATAGTTGATCCCACCTCATAGTGACCTCACAAGACAGAGAACCGCCCTGTAGGTTTTCCAAAGCGAACAATCGTTATGGAAGTAGCTTTCTGCTACATCTTCTCCTATGGAACACTGGAGGGCTCGAACCAGTATTCACTTAAAAGCTGTCACTGTACCACCAGGGGTCCGACAGATTGTGTAATAATCTACCCTTGTGTAATACAAACTTTATTTCCCCAGAGGCTCAAAGTGAGCAGGAAAACCTTCACAGTGTGTGAAGTTTGAGAAAACGTGGTCTGTGGACCTCTGATCCCAGCCTCGTGCATGAGAACAGGCCCAGTTCCACTGCAGCCACACTGGATGGTGATGAGAAAGTGACAAATCTCTCTGCACCTCATTTTCCCCACTTATGTCAGCTGTGGGGAGGACTGAGTGAGGGCACCCGTTTGAGCCCAAGAGAACAAGGCCCGCCTGCCCACGGCAAGCCCTGCAGAGGAGTCTGCTGTTAAGACTGTGGCTGTCATTGTACTTCCAATATCAGAGAACTGTTTATCTGAAAATCAAGGAGGGGACTGGCATTTGGAGTTTCTAAGTTCCTTTCAAGGCCCAAAGCCCGAGGAAAAGATTGAGAACTAAAAGCTGTTTGGCGGGAAGATGAGTTGGATCTCTTGGCAAGCACTCTGGGATGGCATCCCTGACAATCCCACACCCACACAGGAGTTCAAGGTCAGGCACCCAGACACTCACCCTCAGCAATGGCGCCCAACACCAAGATGCCCGACTCTTTGACCACCCACTCGGGATGGAAGAGGAGGCCCTTGAGCAGGGGGAGTAGGTGGGGCAGTAGTTCCTCCCGGAAAACATTGGCAAGGACATCTAGTGCAGCCGCCGAGCACTTCCCTGGGACAGGAAGTAATGGGGGTGAGGAAGTTCAAGGAGGACCACTGGACAGGGCAGTTGGCCCTCTGCAGCTGTGTCCCCAGGATTAGAGCTCATGATTAGAATCTCTGAACAAGTTCTTAATCACCTCCTAGTGGAGGGAGCCCAGGGCCGACCCCTCCCCAACAAGGCCAGCCACGCACTCAGATTCCAGTCAGACAAAGCATCATCATCGTCATCATCTTCCGCATCCTCAGAGCCATCTGGTCGCTCAGCTTCATGGGGCAGCGTTACTGTGCGTGACTTGTGGAAACGTGGCTTGATGTCCTGCTCGCTATCAGGGACTGCCTCATCTTCTTCCACATCCCCCTGTGAGGTCCAGCAATGTCATTAAGTACCACCGGGGCCCAAGTCCCAACACGCCCCAGCCCTTGCCCACCCATCAGCACAAAGGCCCTAACTGACCTTGAGCAGGATGATGTCAATTTCTGAGTACTTCATCCCGTTTACAAGGATGGGAATCAACCTGTCGAGAGAGAGGCTATGAACCAGGAGGCAGGGGCCCCCAGAGAGAGTGTCAGAGTCTGGGAAATATGGAGGCAGAGGTAAGAGCAGGAGCATCGAGAAGCCAGGAGGCAGACTGCCTCAAGCATGTGGACTTCACTTGCCCTGAAGGCATTCTATTTCCTCTGGGGTACCATCCTGGCTCACTCGCAGCTGCTGTGATCTAGACAGAGCTGGCACTACTCCTGGCTCCCCTCATAACCCAGACCTGGCCCACCAATTAATCCTAGTCCCTGGCGACATCAAGCTCAGAGCACTGCCCAGTCCCTACCACTCTGTAAGGCAACGACATTACCTGTGATGGGAGAGCAAACTGGCATGGCAACTGGGCCCTCTCAGCTGGAGCCAGGGCACCTTGGGGTCAGAAACTTGGATTTGTGCCTTTATATTCTGCTCTGCACAGGTTTGTCAACCCCTCCCCCGGGAGCCACCCTCTCAGCCCTAAACACACCCCGCCTCAGGCAGAGGCATGGCATCCAAACTGAAATCCTGATATGGTACTTTAAGGTAAGCTCTGGACTGCTAAGCACAAGGTTGGTGGTTCAAACACACCCGCTGCACCTTGGAAATCCTCTATGGGGTTGTTATGAGTCATAATCAACTCAGCACTCAACAGCATGGCATCTAAGACAGATGGTCAAGAGGTGGGAGCCCTGTGACAATTTGCTAGAGATACTGACTGGTCAAGAGAGAATTTCTTTACACTGAGACTCCTGAAGTGGAATAACGCAGAATGGTCAACGTAAGGCAAGTGGATCTGAGAATAAACAAGAGACACCATCAACATCCTGAAGGAAACTGCATTCAGCTATGCCCAAAGCCTTTATGGAGTTCTCAAACGATTTCAGTCTGTAAATTTAAAAGAACAAAACCAAACCTGTTGCCACTGAGTTGATGCAAACTCCTAACAACCCTTTGGGACTGCCCCATAGGGTTTCTAAGGTCACATCTTCTGTGGAGCAGCTGGTGGGTTCAAACTGCCAACCTAACCTTTCAGCAAGCAGCCAAGCACTTTAACCACTGTGCCGTGCCATCAGCGGCTCCTGAGTACACAAATCATCTACTTTTTCTTCATTAAAGCTGCATCCTTATCACTAGCAAAAGAACCACACAGGGATAGAAAGGAAACGGAACCAGAGAAATGGACAGAGGCAAGTGCAAGAGGCGACCAAGGTGGGAGGAGAAGGCACGGCAAGAAGTCTGGGCCATGGGGCAACCGAGGGCAGGAAGGGTGCTCACTGGACCAGATGGGAGGCCAGGACTTCCTTGCAGATGGGCTGCTCGGCCAGCGTCAGCCAGAACTCGCAGGCCTCAAGGGCCACGTTCTCATCATGGTCCTGGGTCCTCTGCAGCATGTACTGGACAGCAGGAAGGCAGAGATGAGGCCAGGTGCAGCAGGGAGGAGGGTCCCCCCATCCACCCTGCTAGGCCAGCCTTGGTCATGCACACCTGGATAATGCTGTGCATGTGTGGGATGAGCCTGTCAATCCGCACTTCCAACAGCATCACCAGAGCTCGGCACACATTCTTCCGCACCTCAGGGTCGTCATCCACAGCTAGAGCGAACAGGTGCTGGCAGAGAAGGGCGGAGTCAGCTGTGGTGGGCTCTGTGACCCTAGTCCTGCCCACACCCAGTCTGAATGCCCACCTCGATGAAGGTGTCAATGTTATCCATCAGAGCCTGGGCCCGGTCCATGATGAACTGATTCACACAGGCGATGGCATGGGACCTGGCAGGAGCAGGCATATGATTTACCTTAGAATTCACTCACGGGGACCAGGTCCCGAGACCCTGGGGAGCCCTACGCACCGTATTTTGGGGCTGCAGTGCTTAAAGAACTGCAGGAACTTGGGGATCATGATGTTGAGGGGCCTGTTGAGGGCATCACTGTCTAGGAGCTCCGAGGAGTCTTCACAGATCTTCTGCAGGGCTCCAAAGGCTCCCTGCAGAGAGAGGAGAAAGAGGGGAGGGGAGAGGACGATGGGTCAAGGCCCCAGCCTCAGCACCTGCTTGGGCAGTCTGTGGCTTATTGCCTACCTCGCAAGTGTTATAATCCTCCGAGTTGAGCAGGTTGCACAGCTGAGGCAGCAGCTCGGGCCACATCTGCAGCTCACCCTTGGAAGCGATGGTGGTGATGAGAATGCCTGGGGCAGCCAGGAGAGGATGCTGCCTCAGACTGGGCACAGGTCTCCATCACTCACTCATTTCTCTTCACAACACACAATACACTTTCCCACTACACTACCCAGGTAGGCCTTGTACAACCCTCTTGAGGTCAGTACAAGAAACACTCATTGGGCCAGCAAACAGCCTCTGTGCTTTGCTGGAGGTCAGTTCCTTTCTAGGTCTGAGATACAGCTTGGAACAAAACACAGTGTTCCCGCCACCCTTGGGAGCTGCCGATGATGATGAAAACCGTAAGGAAAAAAAGCCAAGTGAAACACCTAGGCGGTCAGATGGCAAGGGTATAATAAAGCAGAAAAGGTGGCAAGAAGGGCCTCTAAACTGGGTGGCCAGAGCAGATCTCAGTGAGGTGACATGTTGACACCTGAGTAAAGACCAAGAGGAGGTGGAGGAGGAGTCTTTCAGGTTCCTGGGGAAAGAGCTCCCAAGTAGAAGGAACAGCACACCTGGGGCAAGCGTGGGCCAGGTGCACTAACAGATCAGCGAGGCCAGTGGAGATGTGTGAACAGAGCAGTGGGGAGAAGGAGAGTAGACAGGACAGGGAAGTGGTGGGGACAGACTGGTCAGGGCCTTATGGCCACCGGGAGGACATGCACTATTAACTAGGAATCCCAGCAAGATCTGCACTAGGCATTTGAAAGCCAGGGGCAGTGGAACGCAATATGGGTCCCACCAGGGCTGCGATGGGATTTCTTTAAAGTCACAAGAGGGCAGTATTTTTCCAAGGGTGGAAACTGCTGCTAGCAACACTGGAGAGGGCATCAACTCATGTTATCAGGAGAGGTGCTCCCTGCTCTGAAGACGTGGACATGAGCCCAAGGTATGGATGGTCTCAGCTTGGGTCTTGCCTTCATGCCTAAATTCTCTATGCCCTCAGCCCTCAATGGGGATGAGGAGCACCTGCCTCCAAGGGCCTTAAGTGGCTTCAGTGACTTGATCCAAGTCATTGACAAAGAGCAAGGCACCCAGAGTGAGTGAAGTATCTGAAGTGTCCGTAACAGACCACTTTTAAGGAGGCAACAAGCTCCAGGGTCTACCTCATTTACACGGTTTTTCTGTGTTGTTGCTGGGTGCACCCTCATGTGACGGAGTAGAATCATCTGCAGGGGTTCCCTGCTGTAATCTTTATGGAAGCTGCAGATCTTTCTTTGGGAGGCTATGTGTGGATACAAAGTGCCAACCTTTCAGTTGGCAGCTGAGCACTTAACTGTTTGTGCTACCATGGTTCTATAGTCTTTCTATGAAGATTCCATTTATTTTTCAAGTTACCTTCCCTTTAGGGCAACCACAACTGATTTTTCATTTTAAAAACTTAATCTGGATTTAATGTATTATTTAATTTATAAATTCTAATTCACTATTAAGACATTTTTTATAGTTGACTAAAGTTTAAAACAGAGATACAGGTCAAGGATATACAAGTAGGAGAAAATCCTAAGGCAAAATTTGTTTGTCGTTAAGAGTTGTGAGTTCCAAGGAGCGGCTGGTGAGTTTGAATCGTAACCTTGTGGTTCAAACTGACGTTGCAAACCAGTGCTTTATCCCACAGCACCACACCAGGACTCGAAAGCAAACTAGCTTTAGCTAACTCTTCTCATTCTTCCAATACCTTCCTCAGGCAGTATCCCTAAGTGAGAGATGGTCCAAAGTGGACGTAAATCACGTTTAGGTCCAGCTATTGGTTAAGAGGAGTCCTGGTGTGGTGCTGTGGGTTGATGTGTTGGACTTCAAAGTCGGTTTGAACTTCAAGGCCGGCGGTTTAGGCTCACCAGCCACTCCTCAGAAACCCTATACAAGGTCGCTATGGGTCAAAACTGACTCAACATCACTTAACAACAACATTGGTTAAGAACTAGATTAGTTAACAGTTATCTCTGGACTGTGCACTCCATGAGCACAGGGAGCCCACAGATTTGAACTCTATCCTTTCAAGCCAAGACCCTGGTTTGTTGTTGCTGTTAAGTGCCGTCAAGTCAGTTCTGACTGATAGGGACCCTGTACAGGGTTTCTGAGGAGTGGCTGGAAAGTTTGAACCACCGAGCTTGCAATCTTGCAGTCAAGTGCTTATCCTACAGTGCCACACCAGAACTCCAAGACCTGGTTGTTGTTATGTGCTGTGGAGTCGGTTCGCAGTGGTTAAAATGCTCAGCTGCCAACCAAAGAGGGAAAAAAAGTATCAATCTGCTTTCATAAAAATGTATAGCCTTGGAAACATCATGGGCAGCTCTGTTCTCTCTGACAAGGTTGCTATGAGTTAGAATGGACTCAAAAGGCTCAGTACGTAGCTTGTTGTTGTGAAGTGCTGTCGAGTCAGTTTCGACCCATAGCGACCCTGTATAGGGTTTCCTAGGAGCAGCTGGTGAGCTTGAACCACCAACCTTGCAGTTCAAATGGCTTTGCAGTCTGGCGCATTAACCCACAGCGCCACACCAGAACTCTAGTACTCAGCTTAAGACCTAACAAAATTCTGTACGTGGAACAAGTGTCTCCAACATAAGAAGAGTTGTTTGAGGAGAGAGTAGTTAGAAGTGTGGGCTCTGGCCCTACACTGCCTGGGTAGCTTCTGAGCCTGCCAATTATCAGCCAGGCCCCTTAACATCACAGTACCTCAGTTTCCTCACCTGTGAAATGACACGAGTAATAGTACTATACCATACAGGGAAGTAGGGGCAGTCAGTGAATCAATACATTCCCATACTTCGTACTATACCATACAGGGAAGTAGGGGCAGTCAGTGAATCAATACATTCCCATACTTCGAAGCTTCTAGGCATAGACTGAAAGTTCTGTGTTCAACCCCTGCTGCCCTCACCAATGGTAGCTCGGATGAGCGAGGAGGCATCACCGATGTTATTGAGACACTCCTGCTTGATGAAGTCAGCCACGGGTGGTGGGAAGCTCTGATAATGTGCCTTCACATTGTTCTTGAGGATGAGGCCACTGAGAGAGCGAGTTGGTTCATCTGGGGAAAGAGGGCTGGCTGGGCATCAGGGGACCAAAGGGAAGAAAGAAGGGCCCAGGCCACATGGAGAGGGCACAGAGGGCATACCTTCAGATTTGAGTCTGGTCAGGACGAAGATCAGGTAGTTGTTGAAGTCAGGAAACTGGTTCAGTTGTTTGAGTTTCTGCCGGGCTGTTAAGGGACTTGGAAGACATGGGCCTCATCCATGCAGGGCCCCCTCACTGTTACCCAGCACAGTGAGGCAGCTAACAGTGCCACTGACCACTGAGATCAAGCAGCCCATCATTGGGACCCCACTTGTTGACCTCCATGCCTGGAACAACACAGAGCTGCTCAGGCAAGTCAAGTTCATACAAGAAGGGGATGCCTGAGCTTCCCACCCCACCCCCCACCCCCACTCCTAAAGACTTAACCAGAGCAGGAGAGTTAGGCCTGCTTTTTTTTTAAAAAAATGGGTATCCAAATTTTCAAGTGAAATTTGCTAATAATTTAAATGCTTAGAATCAACTGAAAACTCAAATTAAACCACAAAGCCTAAATAAAATTTCTAACAAGTGCCAGCTGAAGGCACCCTTCCCACTACCCCAGGCTCTGAGATGACAGACATCCGGACTCTGGCTGGGAACAGCGCTAGGCCTCCCAGCCTACTTACTTGTTGCCACCCTGGCTAAGTCATTTTGCCTCTCTAAACCTCAAATTCCTCTTCTGTCAAATATAGAGAATAACAGTAGCTCTTTTAAATAAGTTAATGCAACAAGTGAAACTGAACATTAGGTAATTTCATTATCTTTCATAACAATTCCTCCCCCTCTGGGAATAAATCCTGAGCAATTTATCCTTAATTCTCTGTTCAGGCCAGCTCCTCACCACAGAAGAGTCTGGGGATTACAGAGGCAGCCCCTCCCCTTCCCGACTTCAGTGGCTGTGGGTGTCTGCCTGGTTTCCCAGGCCCCCAAGGAAGGAAGGAAGGATACATCCTGAACGATGCGCTGCGTGGCTGTATTGGGCGACTGGGAGTCTTTGAGCAGCTGTAGGACCTGCTGCAGGCCCTGTTCATCTGGCTGCCAGTCCATGGCGCAAGGCGGGCTGCAGGGGTATGGGGCTGGGCTCAGCTTAGGGTCCTAGGGGCTTGCTCTGAGACCTTGGTAGAGCCCGAGTGGCGGTGTACAGGCAGAGGCCGCTGACCCACACCCCCGCAAGTGAGAGGTCTCCACCAGCTGCGCCATCCACCTCGTAGTGGGTGAGCTGGGGAGCCCAGGCTGTGGTCTGTGGACAGGGGCAACCGGTAGCAGCGGGGCCCCCCCGGCGGATCTTCATAGGGCCCATTGTGAAGCCCGTGTCCCAAGGCGGCCCATGCCACAGCCCCCTGCTACAGGCCCCTAAGGTTTCCGCCTCCCTCACAGCTACTGAGCGAGGATCTAGCAGCCTCCACGTCCAGAGTCCTCGCCACAGACGGCGATAGTGCTCTAGCAATGGTGGTCTCCCCGTGCAGGCACAATCACGGAAAACTCCCCTCCTCCCAAAATCCGGCCTTCAATATCCGCCAGAACCCTGCTGCCTCTTGCTTGCCCTGATCTGATTCTTGAGCCTTCCAGTTGCCCCGTCCCAAGACGCTCCAAGCCTCCTGATTCCTGCTGCTTCCTCTAATCTTGCCCTCCAATCTCAAGTCGCCACACATCCTCCTTTCACGCCTAACCTGACCCCATTCAACGATTCCCCTTTAAACGGGTCCAGAGCAGTCCCTGAAGACCCTCGTTACCATCCCGATGAGACCTAGCCAAGCCCACCTACCCGGCAGCACAGCCTCCAGGGCAGGTCTCTGTTGCTTTCCCCAATCGGGTCTGACCAACACCACTACCATCACCTTCAGGGCAGCAGTAATGCCTACTGTATGTATCTCCACTGCCTCCCCAAATCAAATTCAGCCAAGCCCCTCACCACCTCGATTCTGAAACTCTCTTTGTGCGATTCCTGCAGCCTTCCCAGTAAGGCTTGGCCAGACACCTTGGAGCATCTACCCCACAGTGCATCCCAGAGACGTCCCGCGATCACACCCAGCAAATCTCTTTAGGCCAAAGTTTGCTGCCCCTCCCTATCAAGGGCCCAATAACCCCCACCCTCAACTTTTCACTACGGCCTCCCCAAGTCAGATCTGGCCAAGCCCAGAGCAAACAGCCCAACACACACACCGATCCTAGAGACATCCTCCAGTCAGCTACCCTCCAGCCCGACCCCAGCTGTCCCACTGGTCGGATTCTTATGGCACCCTAAACTGGCCCGGTTCCGACGCCCCACCCCGTAAGCCTGGTCCCGTTTCCCAAGTCCTCCGCCCCGGCCCGTTCTCGTTGCCTCGTAGATCCAACCCAACCGGGTCTCTGGCCTTAGCCGGTCGGGCGCGGCCCTGAGGTCCGGGTCGCGCGCGGCGCAAGCCTGGAGCCGTCGGCACAGGCCGAGGCTGAGAAAGTCAGGTTCGGAGTGAAGCCCACTTACCGGGCCCAGGGCGACCGCGGCGGCGCCTAGCGCTGCGGTTTCTCCTGAGACTCTCACGGAAAGAGCGAGCCAAAGAGGGAATAAAAAGAACGCGGCCACAACTGAACCGCGGCGGCTTCCGTATGCCGTTCAAACTAGCCCAACAGAACCAATTAAAAGGTGCCTCCGTCGCACGTGGCCTAGCACGGAGGACGGTCCAGACCCAACCAATGCTAGGTCACATGACCTACGAGTTGTCGCGCCTCTTGACCACTCTAGCCGATGGGTCCTCCCGACACCTCGTTACCCCAGCCTTTTCCACGCCCTCCTGACCGCAGCTCTTTACTAGAGTCAAGAGTTTGGTGGCAGCTTTGGCAATTGCGTTGTGTGGTGGACCCAGAAAACCCTAAACCAGACCCTTGGATCAACTGCGCTTTTGTCATCCCCTCTTCTAAGTATTGAGCTGTGACTCCCTCCTCCCATCCAGAGTGTACTCAAGAGAAATCGATTACGTACGTAGGGGAGGGACTGGGCTAGTCGTGAACTTTATACTCCAGAAACAAAGGATAAAAAGAGAAAGGGAAAGAGCCAGACAAAAGGAGTTCCTTAGATGAGCTAGGTTCCTACAGAAGCATCTGCCGTTTTTTCGTTATTTTGCAGTACTGTTTGGCAATTTTTAGAAGGACATAGGAGTTTAAATTTTTTTAAGTGGAATAAAATGAACAAATAAACTTTGGAGCTGAAGGTCTAGTTCCTTATCATACTTGAAGTTGAGTGGATCCTAGAACAGACCAGGATTTGAAATAAATCTTCCTGATCCCCTATGGGAACAGAGAAGGACACGTTTTCTTTCTTTTGAGAGCAGCTGGAGAACTTGGAGCGTCCTGATGTCCCCTCCTGGCCCTGCCCGCTACCTCCTACCACTCGGAGCTTGTTTCCCCACTTGTCAAACGGGTGAAAGAATAAATTTGCTCGATCAGAAGTGATTCAAATTAAGCACTACTTTTCCTGCCGCAAACTGCTCTTTACACTTTGTGTCACTATTTTTTACAATTAAAAAAATGAAAACGTGGTCGTTTTAACCACCCAGGGCTCAAGACTTCCTTTTCAACCCCTTTCTAAATACGATGTTCACTGTGCTCTAAACCCAACGACAGCCCTGCCCTACCCTTGAGGATTTGGAGGATCTAAGAGAGGCACGAGGTCAAGTTTTGTCCCTGCTGGAAAAGAATGACCGGTTCCTTCCAGCCGACTACCCCGTTGGCAAAGTCTGTTCTGACTCCATTCATTCATTCAAAGCAGATACATAAGACATCTCTTTGCCGAGCACTGGGGATTTTCAAATTCGGGAAAAGTCGCTTGGCGCCTAACTTCATCCCGAAAATCGGGGAAGAATCCCCAAAAAAGCAACCGGGATTACCACTGAAGTCAGCTAAATTGAACAGAAACTAAATTTGAGAGACACGTGCGACAAGCCGCCATTTACGCCTGCGCAAAAGCCTGCTTTTTTTTTTCCTTCCCTACCCACCCGGTGAGCTCTGGTAGCGTAGTGGTCTGTATATATTTACAGCTTTGGAAACCCTGTTCAGGGTCCCTATGAGTCGGAACCGACTCCACGGTACTTAACAACCCACCCCGTAAACGCTGGGACTACAAATCCCGTCATGACGAGCGCCAGGATTGCCATGCTTCCGGGCTCTGGCTGAGAATCAAATGTGGGGTGTCTGAGGACTTGCCTGGTTGGTTGTTGAGCAGAAGGAAGGATGGAACTAGAGGGCAGAAACTTGGGGTGGGGGTGGAGGGCTGCTGGAGCTGGGTTTGGCGGTCCCGCGAGGGAAGGAATGGTAGTAGCTTTCTTGCCGCCAGGCTTGTTGGATGACCCAGATAAGGGACAAGTGGGTAATGAGCAAGGGCTGTAGGAGAGAGTTTGTTAATGCTCACCCCCTGCTTTTATGTTGTTTCTAGCAGCCCTGCGTAAGCCTTAAGGTGTGTGTGTTGGGGGGCGGGGGGAGGGGGATGTCAGAGCAGTACAAAGGGATCCCTGCTGCCTACCACATTGTTGGCCCTCGTGATGACAGATTTTATTTTTCTTTTTGCCCTTTCATAACTGATGGATTTAGGTGCTGAATTGAGACAAGTTCTTTGTTTTCCTGTTTCTTAAGAAGCTCTGGTAGCATAGTGGTTACTAATCGGGCTGCGAACCGCAAGGTCAGCAGTTCGAAACTACCAGCTGTTCCGCGGGAGAAAGATGAGGCTTTCTGCTCCCATAAAGATTTACAGCTTCGGAAACCCTGTACAAGGGTCACTATGACTCGGAACCGACTCCACGGCACATAACAACAACCACAAGCAACTGCGTGAGAATTGTCATTTCAAGCTTGTCTCACAACCATCCTGTGCATGGCAAATGATTTCAAATGATTCAAGCAGAAGTGCTCAGTACAAAAAAAACTTGGGAGCTGATACCCAACTGTGATCTGAGATGGCAGACAATTGGCTCTCAGTTTACAAAGGCCCTGGTGAAAATCGGATCATCCTACAGTGGTTAAAAGGACATCATTTTTCAAGCACAGTCCCCAAACACAAGCCAACTTCTTCACCCTGAGAATTAGCAGTTATACCTGTTAGACAACGCCAAAGTCAAAACCGACTATATGGATATTGCTTTTACTTTAAAACTTGACTTTAGAACTGCTTCTGTTTTTAACCCTATTTTACTGGTTTGAAAAAAAAACAAAACCTGAACCACAGGTAAGTTAAATGACATATCCAAGATCACACAGCGAACAGGCACCAGAATAGTTTGAAGCCTGGGCTGGCTGTTTGATTCATGAAAACCTAAATTTTATTTTTCGTCATCTTCAGACATTTCCCCTGTTAGGGCTAATGAGCACAGGGAAGGAATTGCATCAGCTCCTGCCTCCTGACACTCCAGAACAGAATGGAGGCTGTGCCACTGCAGAAATGACCTACTTTCCCACTGTGTTCCTGAGTTCTCTTTTAAAGATTCACCCACTGCTGGTGGCTTTGAGGACGGAGGAGCTGGGGATGGCTCCCTTGGCTTTGTGCATCCCTTCCCCTACTTCATCCACAAGGCCAAAGTCACACCCTTTCTGCTGTGGAAAATAACCAAGACAAGTCTTACTGTGCACTGGTGGGAAGTGAGCTAGAGCAGGGATTTTGTTCCAAAGCCTGTTTACTGTTTTGTCTTAGTTATCTAGTGCTGCTATAACAGAAATACCACAAGTGGAGGGCTTGTTGTTAAGTGCCATCAAGTCGGTTCCAATTCATAGCAAACCTGTATAAACCACCAACCTTGTGGTCAGCAGTCCAGTGCATATCCTATTGCACTATGCCAGGAAAGTAGATGGTTCCAACAAATAGAAATTTACTCGCTCACATTTAGAAGTCTGAATTCAAAGCACTGGCTCTGGAGAAAGATCTTTGTCTCCTTTCAGCACCTGTAAACCCAGCATTCCTTCAAGTTCTCCATGTGTCTTGGCATCTGTCCTTCTCTGCGTCTAGGAGCAGTGCAGGGACCCCAAGTTCGAAGGATGCACTTCACTCCTGGCTCTTCCTTCTTGGTAGTAGTAGGTCCCCCTGAGCTCTGCTTTCATATCTCAAAACAGATTAATTCAAGACTGATAACAACCCCATTCTGTAGATTGCATTATATTAGATCTCATCATGGGAAATTTTACTACCACTAAACTGCCAACTCATTGAGAATCCAGGTCCAGCCGAGCTGACACAAAACCTCAACTACCATACTGTTTCTTCAACAAACTGGGGTCTTCGCACCTGTTGCTCCTTCTGCCTGAAACGCTCTTCTGTGGATGTGTTCATTGCCTGTCTGACATTCATGACCAAATTATTTTAAATTGCTGTGTTTTCCACCCTCATCTAAGTTTCCTCCATGTCATGCTTCTTTTTTTTTTTTTTTACTCCTTAGAGTGTATATAACTAGCTCATGTACTCTGTGTTTTGTTTTCTTGTCATTTACATGAAGACAGGGACTTTTGTCTTTTCACTGCTTTAAT